GTTGTGTTATCTTTTATTAAACTTCATCATTATCATTTTCATCTTTATTGTCATTTGCATTAGCACAGTGACTTTTTCTTTTACTGGTTCTGTTAATCAGTAATATTTGCTATTATTTACCATTAGGCCTTTCGCAAATGTGGAACTGTTAACTCCTTTTATTTCTTCTACATTACATTGTTCTGCAAAACACTTGTACAATTACTCTTCATCTCTTATGCAAATGTATACATATCTAATGTGTATATGCATACACACATGCGCATACCCATATATTGACAAACCCTTATACATCCATACCCTTATATTGTAAAAGTGTGGAAAAAATTGCACATGTGCACAAAATACACACACTAAGTACAGTATATACACACAATAACAGACATATATTCACATGCTCAGTAATGCTTTTTTATTACTTACACACTCAACTGTTGTGTAATCATGCATATGATTATAAAGCTAAATTGTGTATATTATGGTCCACAGCTACCTGAAAATAATGCTCTTGCTGAACTATGTGGAGGGATGATATCTGCTTGGGAAATATATGGTAATAAAAAGTAAGTAAAATGGATTGGTCTGGAGGTTTTCAAAGTTTTTATTTATTTATTTAATTATTTGTTGTAGCATATAATGTACACTTTTTTGTTTGTTTTTGCTTTACTTTCTACGTAGCTATTGGTGTAATATGTTTTTGATTAGAAAATTTATAATTATTTGTATTCTCATTTTTATTTATTCAAGGAGTTGACATATCAGTAGAGATTCAGATCCACATACCTTGAGAATGGAGTATTAATCAGTATAGGATAATTAATTCCAAATATTTTTCCAGGGCTGTAATAATGTTTGTGATAGAAGATGTTACCTACAACATCTGTGATCAGCGTTTCCACGAATATGAGATTCGACGACAGAGGCCGGATGTCCATGTCATTCGTCGAAACCTCACACAGATCAGTAAAAATGGGAAGTTAACTGATGATAAAAGATTGATAATGTAAGTCTGTTGAATTAGAAATTAAGCTTCTGATAAGGATTCAGAAAAGCTTCATGATACTGATAGTTGTATTGATAGATCTTAGGTGACATACTTTATAAATGGTTTAGCTGGTGGGAGTTAACCCAATGCCACCAGGGAAATGAATAAAAAATGGAAAAAATGCTGTGCTCATTTTTTATATTTTTTGTGATATGTCTCTGCATGTAGATGGTTCTACTAGTGCTTAGCCTTACTTGATTTCATCTTTCCTTGAATTGGCGGGAAAAATGTATTTTTTACTAGTGCTATGAATATTGAGTGTGTTATTTTTATTATAAACATTATAATGTCAATAATGTTATAAACATTAGTAACAGCAAAATAAGATAACGTAAACTATTTTCATAAATCAAAGAAAAGGGTAAACGGTCGAGACAGGCAGTACTCGTAATTGGCTCATTGGTGACTTAGTACAAGTGTAGCCATCAGTGTGTAAAAATAATTAAACAGTTAAACTCACAGTGGGCATGGCATACATGTACATGTCAGGCCCGTCGGCATTGGGTTAACTGAAGTTATGCTGTTGGCCTGGATGCCTGGAAATATGACAAGATCATTATTAAAAATAGCTAAAAATAAAGATGAATTATGTGAACTTTATATATATGCATGTATATATATATATATATATATATATATATATATATATATATATATATATATATATATATATATACATATATATATATATATATACATAGGTGTAGGAGCCAGGGGGGCAGCAGCCCCCCCAGTCGGGTAAATGCTGGTTGAATTCGGGCAATTTTGGGCAATGGGCATAGAAATTGGAAATTATCCATTTTGCAAAAAAGATATTGGTTAAAAGTTATATTAATGTAACATAGATGCTTTAAGAAGGGGATTTAAAAAACAGAAAACTTTTCTTAGCACACTGAGGTCTTTCATCTGTGCGAAAAAGTAGTGTTTCCTTTTTATTGGCATTTGATATAGACAGGACCCCGTGGCCTGTTCTCAGGGGCGTAGATAGAAAAATTCATTGAGGGGGTGAGAAATGAAGATATCCCAACAAAAATTTGACATCAATTCTTATTTTTTATTATTTTGAACATAATATAAGGCCACTAGAACTAAACGAAACAGAAAACCATCGTTATTTTTCCGACAAGTGCAGAAATTTTCCGACAAAATGGCAGTTTAGCCTTATAGGTGTCCCCCCTCCCCCCGACCCCCTCTATCTACACCACTGGTGGGATTCATCACAAATTTTCTGGCAGGTGAAATTTCTCAGAAAATTTGCAGCCCCCCCTAAATTTTAAATGCCCCTACGCCAATGTATATATATATAAATATAAATATAAATATAATAATGAATAATATATAGCTAGATAGATAGTACATGTATATGTATGTGATATATATATATATATATATATATATATATATATATATATATATATATATATATATATATATACATACACACACACACACACACACATACACACAAATATGTATTATATATATCCATGTATGTATATCAGTGTTTGCATATCAGTATGTGTGTGTGTGTGTGTGTGTGTGTGTGTGTGTGTGTGTGTGTATAAACGTGTGAATAAACGTATGAATATATATATATATATACACACACATATATATATATACATATATATATATATATATATATATATATATGTATACATATATATATATATATATATATATATATATATATATATATATATATATATATATATATATATATATATATATATATATATATATATATATATTATATATATATATATATATATATATATATATATATATATATATATATATATATATATATATATATATATATATATATATATATATATATATATATTATATATAATAATATATATATATATATATATATATATATATATATATATATATATATATATATATATATTATATATATATTTATATACATGTATATATTCGTATATAAATGTATACATATATACATGTACATATGTATATATTCGTATATACATGTATACATATATACATGTACATATATACATATATACATATACACATATATGTATATACATTGAAAGAGTTTTTTTAGTGATATTTTAAAAGTCAAAATTTCTTTTGACAGTGATGGTGATGAAATTGCTGTAGTATACTTCCGAGCAGGATATGAACCAGGCCAGTACCATAGTGAAAAAGAGTGGGAAGCTCGTCTCACCATTGAGAGATCAAAAGCCATCAAAAGCCCAAGCATTCAGTACCATTTGGCAGGCACTAAAAAGGTCAGAATTGTGTTGAGTCATTAGGTTGACAAGTATAGATTTTATATTTGAAAACAATTTTCATTCAAAATGCAAAATTTAAACCTTTTATTTTATTTGGTAGATTGATCATAATTTTCCAAGAGTGATTGTTAGTAGGATTACTGGTTTATGGAACTGAAGTTAGTGGAAGTTGAGTTTAGTACATACCTCTTTTTTCAGGTTCAGCAAGAAGTTGCACGTCTTGGTGTGTTACAGAGATTCCTTTCAGAGTCTGAAGCAAACCTTGTTGGCCAGCTGTTTACTGGCCTCTACAGTCTTGATATGGTAAGATAAAGTTTGTAACAGTTTCAGTAGCTTTAGAATTCACTGAGAGACTTATTTTAATGGCTTCAAAGTTCAGGGGGATAGATGTTCTGTATGCTGTCTTGCTCTCTAAAATATATACTTACTCTCCTATCACCAGGGCCCTGAAGGTGATGAGGTAATAAAGATGGCGATGGAGAACCCAGATCGATTTGTCCTCAAACCACAACGAGAAGGGGGTGGCAACAATATGTATGGTGATGAAATTAAAGAGGTATGTTGTAAAAAAGCAATAAAATGTGCATAAGAATTGTTTTCAAACATAGATGGCTACACTTGTACTTGTACTGCCTGTGTCGTCTGTTTACCCTTTTCTTTAATTTACGAAAATATCTTACGTCATCTTATTTTGCTGTTACTAATGTTTATAACATTAAAGTAATTATAATGTTTATAATAAAGATAACCATCGATATTCATAGCACTAGTAAAATACATTTTCCCACCAATGCAGGTAAAGGTGAAATCAGTTAAGGCAGAGCCATCTAGTGTAGAGACATTTCATTAAAAAATATAAAAAATGAGCACAGCATTTTCCCCATTTTTTGTTCATTTTTACCCGGCGCAAATGGGTTACCACTAGCAGACTGTTGATATCCCTGCCCGTCTCTTGAATGGAGACACACTTTCTTGAAAAAGGAACTCCTGCCAGAGTTCCTTGTGAACTTCATGGTACTGTGATTGGAAGTCTTCCAAGGAGGGTTGATGAAACTGGTTTGAGATAAGCTGGGGTTCAGAGGATGGTCAAGGATGACAGGTCACACATAAATAGTCATTGCTTTCCCTTTCCCTTATCTTGATCACTTGTGACACGTACATGCTTGCAGTGTATCTGCAACATGAATGTCATTTGCTTTGGCAGCATAATTGCATCTGCATATACCAGATGTAGTTGGCCTATGCTGATATTTCTTTCCAGTTAGAACAGGACTCAATTTCATGCCTCATATTTTGCTGGGGACATTGCTGTTCCAGAAGCTAACAATCTATTTGACCTGTCTGCTCATTTTATTCCGAGCTACCCCACAGAAATGTAAGTTTTCATCATTGAATAGATTTAGGTTGACTTTGTGAGGAGTACCTTGGTGGAAGCAATTGGGAATTTAGGTGATTTCAGAGATGTGACTGCCTATTGAGTGGTCATTATGTTTGGGCCCAATGCAGGTGGCTTGGCCAGTGCTGGTGGCCTCATTGAACTGACAACTCATATTGTTCATTCATCTTGCAATCTTTAAGAAAAAGGAAGGACCTGTAGCTTAGAGAGTTTATATGGGGGATGTGGGAAGTTGATCAATTCTTGCAGTTGGGCCATGGTAGATGGTACTTTTGCTGAATAGAATGCAAGTATGTCCTCTAACTTGTTAATGTGATCATCCTTGCAGTCTTCATACAAGAGATAGTTGTTTTCACTAGGATTGTTACTATTGTTACTGGAAACGACAGGTTAGGCTCTGCATGAAGTGTACAGGCAGTAGAGGCGGGAACTGTGGGATCATGGCCTGTTTGTGAATGTGATCTGCCCTATCTTGTTTTCTCTTCTTGTTCTACTTATACTTGATCATTTGGCTGTACTCCTTGGTGACACAATCACTAAACTAAAACACTTTCCAATGGCATATTTGCCATGCCACCCCAACACATTAATTGGAGTAGGTAAGTTTTGAGCAAGGAGATATGAATCCTCTAATATGTTATTAGACTCACACTCTTCATTTATACTTTATTTGCTTCATAAGAACATAAAATTTAAGGTTTTAAGAGTGTCTAATGAAATAAAGACACTGTTATTACTTATAAAAGTTATTGTATCATAATTACACAAATTATTGTATTATTATACATTGCATTCTTTATTATGCTTTAGGCAAATTATTGTGTTATTAGATATTGCATCATTTATTATGCCTCTTTCTTAACTAGTTCCTGGAGAAGGTGAAAGACACTCCAGCAAGGGAAGCATATATCCTCATGGACAAAATCAGACCCCCCATTCAGTACAACTACCTTGTTCGTGGAGGGACTGAAGTGAAATTGTCTGAAGTCGTTTCTGAATTGGGCATCTTTGGAGTTTTGATTGGGTATGTAATTGCTTGTATTTTTGACATACTGGTATCTGAAGAAAAAAAAAAAAAAAAAAAAAAAAAAAAAAAAAAAAAAAAAAAAAGGTATTACTTTTGCTGATGCAGATTGATTCCTTTTTTTGCTATTTTAACTCTGGTTTTAACCTAAGATATAGGTGTCACATGAAGAATATTAAAAGATAACTATTAGCCAATAGGTGGAAATTATCCAAGAAAGGGTTTAATTTCTCATTTCAAATATGTACTTATTTTTAGGGGAGGGTTGATATGTATTTTATAGGTTCAGTATTACAAAACATTAACAGATTTCATGATGTTTTTGGTGTACAGGAATGAGAAGGAGATCATGATTAACAAGTTTGCAGGCCACATGCTCCGAACCAAGTTATCATCTGCAAACGAAGGAGGAGTTGCAGCTGGATTTGGTGCTCTAGATTCGGTCTTTCTGTTTGACTAAATAGAAAAGGATATAAAACCTTAACAATTTAGTGAGTGTGGTTGTCTAAATGGGTCTTATGTATATTTTTTTGTCAAACAGATATATGGAGAGACCCAATGTGAAAGCAATGGAATTTATGTTGAAATCACAATTTTACTAGAAATATAAAATGCTAAATGAAATATTTGTTCTAATTTGAATTCAAAATTGCACTTGTACATTTTGAATTTATTAAAACCTTGAAATCAATATAGTGTATAGGAATTTAATGAAATATTGATATTTTTTTATATGTGTAGGGTAAATAGAAAAATCTTAGTATGATATAGAGTGTACACACTTTCAGTAGCTTTATTGAATAGCAATAACAGCATAATTACTAATGATGTAAACTCTTGTGTGTAAGTGTACTGTGTTGAGTAACAGAGGGCTTTATTACAAAGACTGGTACTGTGCATTTCAAAGTAGAGTGCTTGTTCTTTGGATAGACAGAATGCAGCATATTGTTAGATATTATTTGAGAGAATATGAAGGAATACAGAAAACACGGAAAAGGAAAAAATATCATTATTTAACTCTAAGGCTGTAAGTAATCTTACTGGAGAGTATATTATAATTGATTTTATTGTGAATGTTGTGTTAGAATTTTCTTTGACCCTTAAATTGCTCCATGCATCAGATCAAAGTGTTTAAACCAAACAAAGCATTTACTCTGGGCATTATTTGGCCTTTTGTATGATTTTACTCCTACTTGAGAGGAAGTCTTTTCACTTCTCAACCTAGATCAAGCTCATTGCAAATCAGTTTTGTACATCTCAGGTTCCTGTTGCCATCTGTGATCTTTTTAGAAAGAGAGAATAATAAATATTTTAGAAAAGAGACAAGATTAGCTTGAGGCAAAGTTGGTGATTAGTAGGTGTGATGGGCATATGTATATGTTTCTAATTCTCTGTGCTTGCTTAAGCATCACTTCCATATGAGAGGAATACTGATTTGACATTGATTTTTTATTGGTACCTTAAGCAGATTTAACAGTTTAAGGGTTAATGACAAATTAATGGAAGAAGTGTGAGAAAAGTAAAAAGCAATACCCATGCCCTAACACATGCACACACACACACAAACACGCATATGCACACGCATATGCACATGCGCGCACGCACATGCACACACACACTCACACACACTCACACCCACTCACACCCACTCACCCACTCACCCACTCACCCACTCACACACTCACACACACACTCGCATACTCACACACACACATATACAGTAAATTAATAGATAACTGCATTAGCTATTGGTATTAAGAAATTTGGA